ATGTGTTGCATTGCTAAGCAACTTTTAGCAACACTTATCCCCCATCCTTATGCCATCTGGAAAAGAAGATGAGACAGGAAAATGTGCCAAGGAGAAGCTAAAGGCAAATCATAAGGAGAGGTGATTTAATTGTATAGTAGATAAAGTGATGCAAATAGTGAGCAATTTTGAAAGCTGATAGAATGCGGACAGGTGCCTTTATGGATGAGGATAATTGGCCATAAAAAGGATAGCATATAGTGCTATTTTCATTGGCTTGTAAGTATTAAAAATCTTGGGGTTTGTAAGTTCCTGAAAAAAGCTGGAAAAGTAACAGAACTCTTTTATACATTTGCATATAGAGATGAGATGAAAGTCCCTCATTTCAGTATATCAATTAAAATTGCAGTTCGAGTTATAGTGAAACCTCTTAGACTTAAGATTTTCACCATTGCTATCATGAGTTCAGTTTTGCTGGCAGTAGAATTTGTTAGGTCTAACCTGGAGTAGTTGGCTGATTGACATTTTAATGACTGTCATCCATCCCTGGTCAGAACAAATGTGGATGACCGTGCTTGTGAAAAAGTCAGTGCTAGCTAGTATCTTGTGTACACTAGTTATCATGATTGTTTTCTCTGGAGTGCCTGGTGGTGATATTGAAAATTGTTTCAGAAGAGTCACTATCACACTTCCCAACTAAATTTGCTCTGAGAACACATTAGCAAAGAAAATAATGTTATTTTCTTTAAATTTATGTTTCAGTAATATTTTTTTCCTCTGAAAGTAAAGCCTAACTCAGAGTCGTTTTTCAAATTCCATAGGTCTATGTAATCAGGTAACCTTGTTTCCAGACTTTTCTATTTCATAGATTTCATAGACATTAGGGCTGGAAGGGACCTCGTGAGATCATCGGGTCCAGCCCCTTGCCCAAAGGGCAGGAAGTCAACTATTAAGCAGTTATGAATAAAAGATTCAAAAGTTGGTCCCAAACTACAAATCTAACAACCACATTAATGCACAATAAGCAGCTGTAGTTGCTATCTTACTCTGTACATAAATGGGTACCTATACGTGCTTGGGGGTGCAGTGTGGGGCATGGGGTTGTTTTAATTAGAGCAGTTTCCAGAGAACCATTCTATATAAAATGCCACAGCCTCACATGTATCATTCAGTGAGCATTAGTTAAAGTGCCCTTTTTTAAATCCACAGGGACTTACTCGATTAATCGAGTCTGTTCTGATGCGTTCTAATTAGAACACATCAGAGCACATGTACAGGCACTCAATATGTATAGACTATATGTAGTCTAAAGTTACTCCTTTTCTGATATTTAGATTAATCAGTAACTCAAAAACCAGTGACTCCAACAAGTAAGTAAAACTAACTATGCTTTTCAAGAATGTCTGTTCTTATAGTTTCCCTGTAGAAACCTCTCTGTACATAAATTTTCTCTATATGGGGCAGAGTTCATGACATGCGCTTGCCTCAACACATCAGCAGGATTAAGAAGGCATCTTCTTTCAGTGTTTCAAAATCTGCTGACAGAATGAGATGACAGAAGGTCTTGCTGCCCTTTTTTACCATGAAACATTAATTCTACTTACTAACAACCATACTCTGAAGCAAACACTTTTCAAATTATTTCTATCAGATGCTTTAAAATGAAGTTGGAAAGACTAGAATAAGTCAATTGTGTCAGAAATACATTTCCAAAGAACCATTTTTTTTTAACAATGCTATCTCTCCTTCTCTACTCTGGATATTAGTTGCTAGGGGAGAATCTAAAATTCTAGCCTTTAAATCCATTGGGAATTTCAAGGTGCTTTTGACAAATTTTAAGTTATAATAGTGCTTTATGTTATGAAGTTGCAACTTAATGTAGTGCAAATCCAGTTAGGGATTCATAGATGTTTGGGTTGGAAAGGACCATAGCAGATCATCAAGTCCAACCCCCTGCCCTGGGCAGGAAAGAGCACTGTGGCAGATGACCTCAGCCAGGTGCATGTCTAGCCTCCTCTTAAAGACCCCCAAGGTAGGGGAGAGCACCACCTCCCTTGGAAGCCCATTCCAGATTCTGGTAACCCTCACCGTGAAGAAGTTCTTCCTGATGTTTAACTTAAATCTGCTGTCTGTCAGTTTGTGGCCATTGTTCCTGATTACTCCAAGGGGTGCCCTGGTAAACAGCATCTCCTATTCCTTGCTGTCCCCCCCGATGAATTTGTAGGCAATCACAAGATCACCTCTCAGCCTTCTCTTGTGGAGGCTGAAGAGATCCAGGGCCCTCAATCTCTCCTTGTAGGGTTTTGCCTGCAGGTCCCTAACCATAAGAGTGGCCCTCCTCTGAACCCTCTCAAGGTTGTCCACATCCCTCTTGAAGTGCGGCACCCAAAACTGGACACAGTACTCCAACTGTGGCCTGACCAATGCTGCATAAAGGGGAAGTATCACCTCCTTGGACCTGTTTGTCATGCACCTGCTAATGCATGATAAAGTGCGGTTAGCTTTACTGATCACTTTGTCACACTGACGACTCATGTTCATCTTGGAGTCAGCAGTGATTCCAAGATCCCTTTCTGCTGCTGTGCTGCTGAGAAGGTCGTCCCCCAGCCTGTTAGCATGCTGGTGATTCCTTCTTCCTAGGTGCAGCACCTTGCATTTGTCCTTATTGAACTGCATCCTATTCCATTCCATCCATTTTTCCAACCTGTCCAGATCCACCTGGATTCATTCCCTACCCTCTAGTGTATTAACTTTACCCCATAATTTGGTATCATCTACGAATGTGGACAAAGTGCTTTCCACGCCCTCATCCAAGTCACTAATGAAGACATTGAACAGCCTTGTGGGACTCCACTGCCCACATCTTTGCAGGTCAATACCGACCCATCCACCACCACTCTCTGGGTGTGACCCCTAAGCCAATTTGCCTGTGATGATCCTGTCTTGAGCAGAGCGTCGGACTAGATGACTTGTTGAGGACCCTTCCTATGTTGTTGTTTGTGATTATATGAAATCTTGCAGACCACCCTAAATTTAATTTGCAATAAAGGAACATTGCACAACAAGATCACTTGAGCCTTTACACAATGCCCATTCTCTATCCTCCTACTGTTCTGCAAAATTTAAGGAATTGGTGTCAAAGAAATATATACCTTTCCTTTTAACACTTATGTAACTATTAGCAGATATTGTGGAAGCGTCACTTCACTTCCTGCACTTTGATTTTTGGTTGTCTTTGGCCAGCAAATTGTAAATATGAGTTACTTTCCCCTGCTTGTGACAGAATATTTCTTCAGTGACTTCCTTACCTAGTCCAATTCTAAATCATTTCCAGCATATGGAAACTGTTCAGACTGAAATTTTCCCTTCTTGGGTGCTTGCTTCAGGCTGAATTTTTTTGGAAAGTTCCAGTATAAATGTTTTGCCCATCTTAAAATTTTCACATCTGTTTCACTGAGAAGCTGAAGGCCTCTATCCTTGGATCTGGTACTCAACATTTGACAAAAAGGATTGTATTTGTCTCATGGGTTTGTCTTTTGCCAGCACTGTAAAAAGGTGTCCAAATTTGATCAAGATATAAGCATTTAAAAAGCTAAGTTTGTACCCAGTATGCAAACTTAGTTTTTTGCATTTTTCTAAGTTTGTTAGTATTCAACAGCTAAATTCTTCAAAGATTCTTTCAGCACTGAGCATGACAGTCCAATGCTGAAGAACTCGTACAGGATTTATTTTGCAGTTTCTGGTAGTAGGAGTCAAGGGTTGCTGTGATATCCAGTGAGGAAACTGAGCAGAGGGACTATTTGCTGTGCTCTCAATGATCTCTCATCCCCACCTCTCTCCTTCCAATACCCACGTGATGGCTCTCAGGCAGTATAGTGGGTGAGACAACCTGACCCGAATTCAGAGACCAGAAGAACTAGACCAGTGGAAATGGAGGAGGGAGTAGATTGGGGACATGGAGCTGGGACAGGGGAGAAGGGGGAACTGTGGAAAAAGTCTGAAAATGGGTTGAGAACGTTAAGGCCTGGATACTAGGACTGGCTGTGTAAAATGACTGAAAACTGAGAAGAGTTGCTGAGGGAGAAGACAGGACTTTGACCAAGGAAGGGATGGGTTAGGATGGGTCACTTTTGAAGGAAATGACTGGAGTGGTCTGTGCTGACCACAGCATAGTCTTCATTAGATTATGGAATTGAATGCAAGATTCCTGAGTCTCACCATTCATCTGCTGTCAGCAAATAGCAGTAAAACCTACTAGAAAAATGTTTTCACCTTCACCTATAGACCAACAGTTTTGGTTGACGTACAGAATGACTGCTATTATTATTACTTACTCTGTTAGCTTGACAGATCCGTATGTACCACAAATCTTGAGCTGCCAACCACTGAATGATGGGGTCTGTAGAAAAAATATTGTATGATTGCATAAATCAAGGCTTTACAATAAAGTTCATGCACAGAGGGCCAGACTAAGATTGTACAGGCAACCTTAAATCTGTCTGTTCCTGACTGAGTACTTAACTTAGCAACCTTGGTGTTCTTTGAACATGGATTTGTTTTGTATGTATTATATGTCTTTGGTGAAATTCAACCCAAATGTAAGCCATTGAGGTCCTTGGTATTGAATTTGGTCCAATGTGTCACTCTTCACAACCTTCCAAAAAGGGAAATCATGCATCATTTTGCATGTGACAAAGCAGTAACCCATTATGTACATTTAAGTGCAATGTAATTTCTTAACAGAAGAACATCTGACAATTGTGCCCCACTGTAACAAATCTTGGGCAAGAACTACTTAATTTTCCCTTCCCCCCTTAGAGGGTACATTGTGGAGTGCCACATAATTCTTCGTTGTTGTGTGGTCCCCATTCATCATGTTCACACAAATGTTGGAAGGGTATTTATAAAGAACCTTGCAGACCACCCACTCTGCTATTGAGGGCCCTCTAGAATAATCCCTTCTTTATAAAGTAGCCTGTGTTGCGGCCAAATTTGAAATCAATGTGTATTTCTGTTTGAAGGGGCAGTGGAGAAATGACATGTTCAATGGACAGGGCACTATAATTCATTGTTCTGGTGTCATCTATGATGGACTGTGGATCAATGGCTACCCTGCTGGTACGTACATTCATTATGCTATCCAGTTATTAACAAGGCTTCAACATAATGCTCTAGCTGTCCTTCTATTGATTAATATGATCTGGCTGTAGTATTAGCATCCTCTGTGCTCTCAGTTTGCTTAGAACTTGTAGCTCATAAGAGCAAAAGCAGTAGCTATTTAAGTGGGACATTTGCTGAGTAGGGGAGCTATTCATTCAAACGAAGGTAAAATAAAATAAGAAAAAGTTTCTGTTTATTTTTCTTTTTAAAGAAAACTGCATTTTCATGTTAAAGTAAATCACATCTATGTTTTTGGGGTTAACTATTATCTTTTTCAGAAAAATAATAACATAGCAATTTCAAAAACAAAAAGGATTAATTTGTCCTGCTTAGAAAGCAGAGGTTACAACTTGAAAACCTTTGACTGATAAATCATCTCTTTCACAGTGAATTATTTAGTTTATTCCTGAGCAGCTGCTTGTACTGTTGCACATCCCATCCTAGGTGAAAGTGTAATTATAAGATGTCTTATTTCTTATAAATTCTGACTGTTTTTGGAACATAATCTAATATTTTGCATTCTAAATTGGAGATTGTGGTTAAAATATGTAAGGATATATATTTGCTGCACATTGTAATTTCATGTTAGGACAGAAAGATGAAAGAAACAGGCCTCAGAGATTTTCAGGAAGAGGAGACATCAAAGGTTCCTCCATTTTTCCCTTTCAAATTAAATGAATAAAGGCAACCAATTTTTCTAGCTGAGAACTGGGTGTAACACAGTAGATGCATGTCTTCCATTGTCAAGTCTCTAGAAGGAATTTCACAATTATTTCCATAACCCATTTTGCAAAGAAAAGGAGAGAAAGCCAAAGGCAAAAGGACCCCTGTCTGGTATGAAGCAGGCAGAAAGCAGGACAGGATGATATCTTAAGGCACTTTTACATGTGCTCTGGGGGCAGGGAGGATGGCAGTCTAATTAGAGTGGCTCCAAGAGCTGCTCTAGTTAAAGTGCCACCACGTCACATATATCAGTGTCCCCACACTTAAAAATGTGGGGTCGCTCGAACTAACGCTTATTTGATGAACTTTAGTTCAAACTCCCTGCTTCCATTTTTAAGTGCAGGGACACTGATACACGAGACATAGGAAGCTGCTGGAGCGCGGCTATTGCCACAATCTAGCAGACTCAATTAATTAGTCTCCTCCAACACGCTGGAATTCCACTGCATTAGAGCAGCCTCTTCACTCACATATACAGGCCCTTAGGGCACCAATACATGTGCAGCAAGGCTGCTCTGATGTGCTATAATTAATCGATTAATCGAGTCTGTTGTAGCATGGAAATTACCATGCTCTACCAGACTTCAGCGTCATGTGTATCAGCATCCCCGTGCTGAAAAAGAGCAGTGGGGGCGTTTTAATTAAAGCTTGTTCAATGCCATTTTTCAGCATGGGAACACTGGTACACATAATGCTCCAGGGGTTTTAATTAGAACCACACACTCCTGGAGCACATGTATAAATGCCCTTAAAGACTTTTTAAGAGGCATAAGCTTTCATAGGCATTAGTCTAGTTCATCAGATGTGAAGAAAGCATACATTGTTTCACAACTGTGGAAATACCTTCATTCAGCATATCTATCCTTGGACTTAATATTTTCAGAGGTACAGATTGTTTATATCTGATTGCTTTTCAACCTCTTTATGACTAGTTATTTGGTTTCTTATGGGCATCATGAAAGACCCAGGATCCACAACAGTGACCATGTTTAGATGGGATTAGCAAGGGAAGAAGGAGAAGATAGGTATCCTAAAAGAAAGGAGTTTCATAAAAGAGCTAGAAAAATGTCAGTGGCATTAGAGCAAATTCAGATAACTCAAAAATAACTCCTAGATTACAGGTTTTAGCTATGGGGGGGGATGACCATGATGCCTCTTGTGGATTCTTGTACTTGTGATGGAAGATATGTCATGCACCTGCTAATGCATGATAAAGTGCGGTTAGCTTTACTGATCACTTTGTCACACTGACGACTCATGTTCATCTTGGAGTCAGCAGTGATTCCAAGATCCCTTTCTGCTGCTGTGCTGCTGAGAAGGTCGTCCCCCAGCCTGTTAGCATGCTGGTGATTCCTTCTTCCTAGGTGCAGCACCTTGCATTTGTCCTTATTGAACTGCATCCTATTCCATTCCATCCATTTTTCCAACCTGTCCAGATCCACCTGGATTCATTCCCTACCCTCTAGTGTATTAACTTTACCCCATAATTTGGTATCATCTACGAATGTGGACAAAGTGCTTTCCACGCCCTCATCCAAGTCACTAATGAAGACATTGAACAGCCTTGTGGGACTCCACTGCCCACATCTTTGCAGGTCAATACCGACCCATCCACCACCACTCTCTGGGTGTGACCCCTAAGCCAATTTGCCTGTGATGATCCTGTCTTGAGCAGAGCGTCGGACTAGATGACTTGTTGAGGACCCTTCCTATGTTGTTGTTTGTGATTATATGAAATCTTGCAGACCACCCTAAATTTAATTTGCAATAAAGGAACATTGCACAACAAGATCACTTGAGCCTTTACACAATGCCCATTCTCTATCCTCCTACTGTTCTGCAAAATTTAAGGAATTGGTGTCAAAGAAATATATACCTTTCCTTTTAACACTTATGTAACTATTAGCAGATATTGTGGAAGCGTCACTTCACTTCCTGCACTTTGATTTTTGGTTGTCTTTGGCCAGCAAATTGTAAATATGAGTTACTTTCCCCTGCTTGTGACAGAATATTTCTTCAGTGACTTCCTTACCTAGTCCAATTCTAAATCATTTCCAGCATATGGAAACTGTTCAGACTGAAATTTTCCCTTCTTGGGTGCTTGCTTCAGGCTGAATTTTTTTGGAAAGTTCCAGTATAAATGTTTTGCCCATCTTAAAATTTTCACATCTGTTTCACTGAGAAGCTGAAGGCCTCTATCCTTGGATCTGGTACTCAACATTTGACAAAAAGGATTGTATTTGTCTCATGGGTTTGTCTTTTGCCAGCACTGTAAAAAGGTGTCCAAATTTGATCAAGATATAAGCATTTAAAAAGCTAAGTTTGTACCCAGTATGCAAACTTAGTTTTTTGCATTTTTCTAAGTTTGTTAGTATTCAACAGCTAAATTCTTCAAAGATTCTTTCAGCACTGAGCATGACAGTCCAATGCTGAAGAACTCGTACAGGATTTATTTTGCAGTTTCTGGTAGTAGGAGTCAAGGGTTGCTGTGATATCCAGTGAGGAAACTGAGCAGAGGGACTATTTGCTGTGCTCTCAATGATCTCTCATCCCCACCTCTCTCCTTCCAATACCCACGTGATGGCTCTCAGGCAGTATAGTGGGTGAGACAACCTGACCCGAATTCAGAGACCAGAAGAACTAGACCAGTGGAAATGGAGGAGGGAGTAGATTGGGGACATGGAGCTGGGACAGGGGAGAAGGGGGAACTGTGGAAAAAGTCTGAAAATGGGTTGAGAACGTTAAGGCCTGGATACTAGGACTGGCTGTGTAAAATGACTGAAAACTGAGAAGAGTTGCTGAGGGAGAAGACAGGACTTTGACCAAGGAAGGGATGGGTTAGGATGGGTCACTTTTGAAGGAAATGACTGGAGTGGTCTGTGCTGACCACAGCATAGTCTTCATTAGATTATGGAATTGAATGCAAGATTCCTGAGTCTCACCATTCATCTGCTGTCAGCAAATAGCAGTAAAACCTACTAGAAAAATGTTTTCACCTTCACCTATAGACCAACAGTTTTGGTTGACGTACAGAATGACTGCTATTATTATTACTTACTCTGTTAGCTTGACAGATCCGTATGTACCACAAATCTTGAGCTGCCAACCACTGAATGATGGGGTCTGTAGAAAAAATATTGTATGATTGCATAAATCAAGGCTTTACAATAAAGTTCATGCACAGAGGGCCAGACTAAGATTGTACAGGCAACCTTAAATCTGTCTGTTCCTGACTGAGTACTTAACTTAGCAACCTTGGTGTTCTTTGAACATGGATTTGTTTTGTATGTATTATATGTCTTTGGTGAAATTCAACCCAAATGTAAGCCATTGAGGTCCTTGGTATTGAATTTGGTCCAATGTGTCACTCTTCACAACCTTCCAAAAAGGGAAATCATGCATCATTTTGCATGTGACAAAGCAGTAACCCATTATGTACATTTAAGTGCAATGTAATTTCTTAACAGAAGAACATCTGACAATTGTGCCCCACTGTAACAAATCTTGGGCAAGAACTACTTAATTTTCCCTTCCCCCCTTAGAGGGTACATTGTGGAGTGCCACATAATTCTTCGTTGTTGTGTGGTCCCCATTCATCATGTTCACACAAATGTTGGAAGGGTATTTATAAAGAACCTTGCAGACCACCCACTCTGCTATTGAGGGCCCTCTAGAATAATCCCTTCTTTATAAAGTAGCCTGTGTTGCGGCCAAATTTGAAATCAATGTGTATTTCTGTTTGAAGGGGCAGTGGAGAAATGACATGTTCAATGGACAGGGCACTATAATTCATTGTTCTGGTGTCATCTATGATGGACTGTGGATCAATGGCTACCCTGCTGGTACGTACATTCATTATGCTATCCAGTTATTAACAAGGCTTCAACATAATGCTCTAGCTGTCCTTCTATTGATTAATATGATCTGGCTGTAGTATTAGCATCCTCTGTGCTCTCAGTTTGCTTAGAACTTGTAGCTCATAAGAGCAAAAGCAGTAGCTATTTAAGTGGGACATTTGCTGAGTAGGGGAGCTATTCATTCAAACGAAGGTAAAATAAAATAAGAAAAAGTTTCTGTTTATTTTTCTTTTTAAAGAAAACTGCATTTTCATGTTAAAGTAAATCACATCTATGTTTTTGGGGTTAACTATTATCTTTTTCAGAAAAATAATAACATAGCAATTTCAAAAACAAAAAGGATTAATTTGTCCTGCTTAGAAAGCAGAGGTTACAACTTGAAAACCTTTGACTGATAAATCATCTCTTTCACAGTGAATTATTTAGTTTATTCCTGAGCAGCTGCTTGTACTGTTGCACATCCCATCCTAGGTGAAAGTGTAATTATAAGATGTCTTATTTCTTATAAATTCTGACTGTTTTTGGAACATAATCTAATATTTTGCATTCTAAATTGGAGATTGTGGTTAAAATATGTAAGGATATATATTTGCTGCACATTGTAATTTCATGTTAGGACAGAAAGATGAAAGAAACAGGCCTCAGAGATTTTCAGGAAGAGGAGACATCAAAGGTTCCTCCATTTTTCCCTTTCAAATTAAATGAATAAAGGCAACCAATTTTTCTAGCTGAGAACTGGGTGTAACACAGTAGATGCATGTCTTCCATTGTCAAGTCTCTAGAAGGAATTTCACAATTATTTCCATAACCCATTTTGCAAAGAAAAGGAGAGAAAGCCAAAGGCAAAAGGACCCCTGTCTGGTATGAAGCAGGCAGAAAGCAGGACAGGATGATATCTTAAGGCACTTTTACATGTGCTCTGGGGGCAGGGAGGATGGCAGTCTAATTAGAGTGGCTCCAAGAGCTGCTCTAGTTAAAGTGCCACCACGTCACATATATCAGTGTCCCCACACTTAAAAATGTGGGGTCGCTCGAACTAACGCTTATTTGATGAACTTTAGTTCAAACTCCCTGCTTCCATTTTTAAGTGCAGGGACACTGATACACGAGACATAGGAAGCTGCTGGAGCGCGGCTATTGCCACAATCTAGCAGACTCAATTAATTAGTCTCCTCCAACACGCTGGAATTCCACTGCATTAGAGCAGCCTCTTCACTCACATATACAGGCCCTTAGGGCACCAATACATGTGCAGCAAGGCTGCTCTGATGTGCTATAATTAATCGATTAATCGAGTCTGTTGTAGCATGGAAATTACCATGCTCTACCAGACTTCAGCGTCATGTGTATCAGCATCCCCGTGCTGAAAAAGAGCAGTGGGGGCGTTTTAATTAAAGCTTGTTCAATGCCATTTTTCAGCATGGGAACACTGGTACACATAATGCTCCAGGGGTTTTAATTAAAACCGCT